CCAATGTGTGGCCCGTGGTCTGGATAGAAGGGAGGATATGGTCAACAGTATTGGGGCATGATCTGTCTAACTAATCACACCTTTGTCGGCCCTGTGTACCTGGGTTTGATAGTAGTGTGGGACAAAGAAGTAATCCAGTCGTGAGTATCTAGCGTGGAGTATGGAGTAATGGGAGTCCTGAATAAAGTTTTGATATATAAAAGTATATACTGTAAGTTCTTTAAGAAAGAAAAGTCACTGATTTTGTGATGCCTTTTCTTTAAATACAAACCTGTATTTTTCTGTTTAAAGCTGTGAAGTGTCCCACTGATTTTGTGAGCTGTTACATGACTGAACTCAGGAAAATTACAAAAAAATCTCTACATTCTTTTAATGCGACATGAATCCCGTTACTGTTTTATTTCTCTGCATGTCTTCTTCAGATGAAAACCACCAGCTTTATCTCAAAACCCAGGCAGGCATTTCACTATCTATAGTATAACAAAGAGGATTTTGGTAAACTTCAAACTGTGTGCGATAAACTCTTCACTACCAACCCCGTGTCTACATGAGGCAGGTAAAGTTTTGCATTGAATTTGCTGTTAGACCAAAATGACACCCTATTATTTACCTTCTTAGGTGCTCCTGCTGTTGTCTTTAGATGTTCATTTTGTCTTGGTCTTTTGGTCAGTTGCTGTGTCCGAGGTCACGCCCACCACTTGCTAATCAGGAGCCTGCAAAACTCACTAGTTGAATAAAGTACATCAGGCTCCTAACCCCCACACTATTTAAACATCCTCTCCTCTGTCTGGTTAGCTGTCTTTGCCTGGATACATCATTTCCACGTTTGGCAGTTCATGAAACATATTGCCCTTAAGTATGCATACTTCATTCACAGATGGCAGTGAACAAATATCCATATGATAGCATGCAGACTTTGGGAACCATTCAATTTTATACTCTGCATGAGAGTCTTCATTTCCAGTATAAAAATGGGATACTGTTAATAGATCCTGACTCCCAGTTACATGTTAAGACAAGCATTGCAGTAACAGGCTTTTAAATTCTCAGTAGCACTCCAATGAACTTTAACTAAGGAACACTTTAAAGGACCACTATAGGCACACAGACCACTTCAGCTCAATGTAGTGGTCTGAGTGCCTGGTCCATCTAGGATTAACCCTGCAGCTGTATACAAAGCAGTTTCAGAGAAACTGCTATGTTTACGTTGGGGTTAATCCAGCCTCTAGTGGCTGTATCATTGACAGCCGCTAGAGGTGCTTCTCACTGTGATTTTTCACAGTGAGAAGACGCCAGCGTCCATAGGAAAGCATTGAGAATGCTTTCCTATGGACTGGCTGAATGCGCGCATGGCTCTTGCTGCGCATGCGCATTCAGCTGATGACAGAAGAGGGAGGAGAGTCCCCAGCGCCGAGGGAGCCCGGCGCTGGAGAATGGTGTGTTTAACCCCCTTCCTCACCCTTCAGCCCGGCGGGAGTGGGACCCTGAGGGTGGGGGCACCCTCAGGGCACTATAGTGCCAGGAAAGAGTTTGTTTTCCTGGCACTACAGTAGTCCTTTAAGTACCATAAACTATTAATGGGATTTTGGGTGTAGGGTAATGGGGTGATGCTGTGTAACCCAAGCTTTTCCAGCATTCAATGCCCAGTCCTTTTACAGCTGCGCAGCTAATGCAGTAGTTTCCGACTGCTGTGCAACCTTGAACAGCAATCTTAGGCTGCAAACACTGAGTAACTTGATGGTATAAATAATCTTGCTTTACAAGGTTGGACAGCTTTGCACAGATAATGCAAAAGTGATCCTTCAAATGTATCTGATTAGTGTCTGAATTGCTGGAGGAAAGCCCTAATTTATTTATATTTTTCCTTTAAATGAGCAGCACAATTTGACTGAAAAAAGCAGAGCGCACATCCAAAGACCCCTTGTACCAGAACGATCATAACCTGTTGTTACTCATAGTTCCCCTTTAAAACATGCTAGCTCATGGCTGTACTTTTCATTCAATGGGTTTCTGATTTATACAATAAGTCAGCCTGAGATAGTAGGCATAGTAACAGTTAAATGCACTTGCTGCTTATTTGTTTTCCGTCCCCCAGCATCATCAGCTGTGAGCAGGCCATCCAAATAAAACAGAACATATTTTCCTTTTTATCAAAGAACAACAACAACAAAAAAAAAAATTGGAATACTTATGTTTTAAAATAATACTCCATGCTCGCTGTAGTGCTTATAATCTTAGGAGTGCACTTGGCACCCCCTATTGTAAGGAATCAAACCATTTTAGAACAGTTCGACTTCTGACCTGGGGGACGCTCTGCTCCCTGCCATCACTACCATCACCAGAGAGCTGAACGTTCCTAAGCGGGGATTTACCAAAGTGCAAGCTGTTGAGTTTCTCAGCTTTTGTCTGTTTTCATATTTTCTTCTTTTATAATAATCATGAATTATGAAAAAGGAATGTTTCAGAAAGATTGATTAATTTGGTGCAATACAGAAGAGGGGGAAACAAAAATTTCCAATTTGTAAAGTTGAAGTAACCGTTTTTTATACGTAAGAAAATGGCACTTTCACAAAGTGAATGTGAGCAGGTTCTTGACTATACTAAAACTTGCAGGAATTTTAAAGTGAATTTTAAACTGGAAGCATAGCTGACTGGGACATTTTTGTTGTAATTCAGTTAATTTAATGTACATTTAAAATTCACTTTGAATTCTCTGCAGTACTTTTTCTTGAATGACTCTGATACTTTAGACATAACACCTAAATGTTGGTAACCTAGCACACCACCTAAACCCAGAGCCTAACTTCCATGTCCTTTGGTTTTTATCTAGAAATACAATCCACAAAGGGAGCAAAGCCATTTCCGTTTGAAAAAATATACAAAAAGGCTGAGACGCATAAAGTTGTATGTGTGTGACATGGCTCTAGCACATTCTATTTGTTGTATATGTAACTGCTCCAGGTTTGCATTTAAATTCACCTTTGAAAAGATGTTAAATCCTGAACCAAATTAGTTTGTTTTTGAATCTCCTCTCACATCTATCACTTCATCATTTCAGGCATATTTTAGGCGTGTATTCACTTCCTTTCTGTGGGGAGCTAAATAAACGTTAGGATTTTGGGGAATTTGCAGTGAGTGGGCGAATGGGAAAAAAAGTGGAATGCTGCAGTTCAATATACAATTAACACCTTCAAAATATATAACACCTATATAATCTCTCTTTTATAAATTAATGAGGAAAAGGTATTCTAACATACATGGAAACCTTTTGGTTTTAGGTTTTCCTAGCTGTAAAGTTTTTCCTTTTCAAGTCCATATTCTAAAATGTTCTTATGTTTAAGAGTAGGGTGCCTTTTAATGGAGGACAAAAGGAGTGGCTTCCTGGGGCCTAAGCATTGTTATCTATGTCACCCTATGTTTTTTTTGCTCTCGCTTTCTCTCTCATCACAGCGTTAAACAATTTGCTGCTGTTGTGAAATGAAATTGCCACATTATATCCAAGCTGCCTGAGCAAGATTTAAAGTTAACTGCTGGATTCAGGTGAACTGATAAAGCAACGTTGTTTATATAGAAACTGATATGGATCAAAATTTTATAGAAAGGGGACGCTTAGCCATCATGGTGAACAGACATGTCTGAACTGAGCTCCTCAAATGTAGCTGCTAAACCCTAATTTTAAGCCCTGAATCTACCTTCAGATGCAACCCTATAGTACACTTACCTGCTTCTTCTCGCTGAGGTACTCTTTGAAGGAAGTCTGCAGCTTTATTGAACCGCCTGAGCTTGATTTGCAGCCTAGACACTGTAGGTGATCCCTGGAGGGGAGAAACGGCCGTTATCCAACCCTGATTGCACCGGTGCTTCTCACACTGACAACAGCCACTCCACCCTCCCCCCTTTGGATCAGTGGGGATATCCCGGTCCCCATTAAAGAATGCTTACCAATGCCAAATAGCACAGACTTACAACAATTATCGGCGAGACCATTCAGCATGCCTAAAATGGCCGCCACATCAACCGAGCATATGACCTCCCTATGGGAATCCAGAGTTAATGCAGCTTTTGACGAGATCTGCATAGCCTTCTGGGATTGGATCGAATCCAGACAGAGGCAGCAATCCCTACCTTATCTGGAGCTAAGGAAACCTCAGGCGTAGCTTTTACACCCTGCTTACCTTATGGGCCGAGAGCCAAGATGGACGCTATGCCCATCAGCCGTCCACAACCTTATAGGACTGTTACAAGCAACCTGCAGGATTCTAGACCTACCTCTGGAGATGGAGGGCTTTGTGGTTTAAAGGCATTGGCTTATACACCGGCCCAGGCCTGGGGAGCGGAGAAGCTGGCGCACTGCAATGGTCTTTTTGTCGTGTGGGATTCACCAGTGAGGTTTAGAAGTTGTGAAGGAGCCATGCAGTACTGCTTACCTGATGGCAAAGCTTGTTCCCAACTAAATCCTGTGTGTGGCATAGGCTGAAACCTGGAAACAAAAAAAGGCCAACAGTGTGTAGGCGCTATAGAATATAACACATTCAGTATGGCAGCACTCAACCCCAGTGATACAAAAGTATACACAGAATACAGACAAATAATTGCCAAAAAAAGCACGCTAAACTGATCTGTAAATATATTAAAAAAAAAAAAACAATAGTGCAGACCATCTGCACCAGACAAAATATAGAAAACTAAAATCGACTGTGCGAAATATGGCTGAACAAATCTAAAAAGGAACATAGAATATAGTGTAATACAGTTAGCATAATAAATTATGCGCCATACATAAGTGCACTCGCTAGATAGCGATGAATAAAGCGCTCACAAGGTGGCTCCCCCGAAGTTGTGGGGGGGCTGAGAGTCCCACTCTCCACTTCCAGATCATCGACCTGACACAGGACTTCAGAAGATGAGGTTAAAAAACAGCAAATTTATTGGCAAAAGGTGAGTCACCATAAGCATAGGATAAGATAAAAAGCAGCAATATGTCCTACGTGTTTTGTTCCAAAAGAACTTCCTCAGGGACCGCAGTACTGTTAAAATAAATGTAAGTAACCTGTAAAAAAAAAATACCACGTTACTGCGGTCCCTGAGGAAGTTCTTTTGGAACGAAACGCATAGGACCTGGTATCCAGCCTACCTTTGCATACATATGCTTAATCTGGCAGGTTGGACACTTGCCCCCAATTAAATATTGTTTGCCAGATTAAGCATATATATGCAAAGGTAGGCTGGATATCAGATCCAGTTTTACATTCTCATAAAGGAGGAATTAAACCAGCTTCCACGAGCAAACCTCGCACCCGGACCAATGAAAGAACAGAGGGGGAGGAGTGAGACACTCTCTAAAGAAGGGGCTGGATGACCATGACGTTGTCAGAGGAAGCCTGTTAAGGCGTCACTAGGGAGGTGGACCCAGAAGTGATCACGTGATTGGGATGGAGGAAACCAGAAAGTGACTTTCTGTTTGCTGTTTACATGCTTTCATGTGGGTAGCTTAGTCAGCTTAACCCACCACTCGCAAAGTAAGAGTTTTTAACCGTTGTTTAATAAACTGTATTTGATACTGTTCAATTGGAGGTCTTGCCTCTCTCTGTCCTATATTGCACAGTATTACCAGCTTCCAGTGAGCACACCACTCTGGTAAATGTGAGTTTCTTCCCTCATGTTCCTTTTTACATATTTTGTCTGGTCCAGATGGTCTGCACTAATCATTTTTTATTTTAATTTTATTTTTTAATATTTACAGATCAGTTTAGCGCACTTTTTTGGTAATTATTTGAAATCTGGACACTGTCACTCTTCAAGGCCCTTTTATATAGCCTTAATTATTTTGTTATAATTTGGAAGCACTGCCTTACTTTTATTTAGATTGATTTGTTTAGCCTAAGTGCACTTATTTTACTACAGCAGATTCATCTTAGTTACTGATTTTCACATAGTCTACTGTCCACTATGCTTAATTAATCCTGTGGTATATTGCCTTTAATTTGCCGATAGCTAACATACTAGCATTCCTGATAAACACCTGGTGGTTCTTATCATACCATTTAGCCAAGCACAGACCATAGATGATGTTTAAATCATATAATTTTCTCTAATCTTAATGTCTGTTTGTTTGGCTTTTTCTCTTCATGTTCATTGTTTGTCTACTGACATATCTACCTGCTCATGTTTACATTACAAAACCATTGTGCATGTTTTCTCAGTTACCCCAAATGTTATGCATGATAATATGCTTGAGGATTGCTGTTGGGGCACCCCAAGTTTGTCTGTATTCTTATTGTGCACCGCAAAAACACAATCATAGAAAAGAGCAGAACAGCTTTGAAAAAACAAACACAATGAAAGTGTAACCCTTCAAAGAATGTATCCAACCTGGATATAAAAAAAAAAAAATCTACAAATAATGAGCAAACAAAAAGTCCAAAAATTATATCACTCACAAGAAGAAAAGGGCTGCTCAACTAAATAGTAAAAACTATAATGTAAAAAAAACCCCAAAAAACGAAATCAAATAAAATCCCACCAGTACAATGGATTTATAAAACGTCCTGCATGACAATAATTTGTAATAAGTGACAAGCTAACAACCATTCATACAGTAAAAAATTGATCAATGTTTTGTAATAGTACTTATCCGTGGGGGGCCCCCTCCAAAAATCCAAAAGATGCTGATTAGATAGCTGCAGGAAAGGATGGTCCAAATTGATTCCCGTGAGCTTAAACTCTCCGAACTGGAGAGAATGCACAGATGTCTGTATTATCTCGTTCAACGAATGTTGGTGTCTGTGTGAACACGAACCACCCACGCCCAGTGGCAGGTGTGCCGGACCAGGTGAGCACAGCAAGCTGGTATCTCGTGGTGAGCTGCTGGAGGTAAAAATGCCACAGCTACCTTCAGGGCTGGCTTTAGACGCCCTGTGCGAAAAATCTTCACAGCGCTCCCCTCAGTCATCCATTTATGATTTAATGTTTGTGTTGTCTGTGTATGTGTGATGACTGTGTGATATGCATGCTATATGTTGGCTGTGTGTGATATTTGTAATGGGTGTATTAACTGTGGGATATGTGTGTATTGGTTGTATGTGATATTTGTGCTGAGTTTATTGGCTGTGTGTGATGGTTATCTAATTCAGATAAAAAACATGCGTTTAGGCCTGTGTGTGAATGCAGGTGTATATTTTTGCAGAGTTATGTGCACACAGTCCCACAGTCAGATCCACACAGTTATACATATACACTGTCAAATCCACCACATGCACATAGTCGCAGGCAGAGAGTCACATACACAGGATCAGGCACAAACACACAGGTACAGGCAGTAACACACATGCACATTTACAGGTAGATAGACACATACGCAGACAGCCACACACACAGAGGCAGGCAGTCACACCTAAATGGTGGGTTTAACACTATAGGGTCAGGAATACATGTTTGTGTTTCTTTAATAGCTTGCTAGACCCTGCAGGAGCCTCCTATATGTGATTTAAAGTTTAATCTACAGAGCAGGAGATAAAAATGTTTTAAAGGGGAGGTGTCACTAGGGTTGCATAAACAGAAACAAAAGTGATTTAACTCCTAAATGTGGGTGAATTGAGCAGTGAAACTGCAGGGGCATGATCTATAAACCAACAAACTGCTTCATTAAGCTAAAGTTGTTTTGGTGACTATAGTGTCACTTTAATTCACCAGTTTTAAATCCACCAGTTTCAATTCACCTGTGTGAATTTGCAGGAATTAAATTTGATGGAAAATTTCGAATTTTGCCCCGAATGCATTGAATTGAATGTACATTCCTCATTGAGGCCATGTGGGTTTAGAGTATTAAATTTAAAGCTCAACTTGAATTCAGCATCTATAATGTCTCTTTTTTTCTTTTTTCAAAGTCCCCCATCTTAGGTATTCTATTCCTATGACCGAAAGCGGGATTACTGTCGTATGTGGACTGAAAATGACAAGCCACAGATGATTTCTCATTCTTATGTAAATTGCTAGTCGATGTTACCTAAACCTCACTTTCAAGGGTCTTGTAGTTTGACCCATGTAGTAAAGACCTCATTTACAGGTAAAGAGGTAGACTACAAAGGATGGATTACAATTGATTCGGTCATTAATTGGAAATAAATCCTCCTCCACTGTTACTTTGTGACACATATAACTACACGCAAGGTTTCTCATTGTAGTGTCACACACAATTGCTCACAATTGACATTAGGAAGTTCCTGGGCTGCGTGATTCATGTGTGCTGGTGGTGCAACTAGCCCCTAGCATAAAAGAGCACATATGTCTGTATACACAATTCAAGCTGAAACTCTGCACGTACAAGTTCCTTCCTCCATGACCACTTCTAAAGACAGAAGTCGTCATTGATGCTGAAGTAACCCTTTAATGCTATATTACAATGGAATGGTAAATACTTTGTGAATTGAAGACTGTTGTTATGTATAGACTCTGCAGAAGAAACTGATGGATACACTTTTGAAAGCCTGGAGCGGCAATGTGAAGACAAGCACAAAGAAATGGCTATATGCGAAGATGCTGTGTATTGGACTGAAAGTATTAAAGGGATTCTCTAGTGCCAGGAAAACAAACTTCTTTTTCTGGCACTAAAGAATCCTGGAGTGCCCCCCGCCCTCCCCACCCCCCCCCCCCATCCCAAGTCGTTGAAGGTTAAAACCCTTACCTGAATCCAGTGCCGATGTTTCTCAGTGCTGGGTCATGGTCTGCCCATGCTCCTCCCCTGCAGACGGGGGAGACCTAATGAGCATGCGCGGCAATGGCCACGCGTGCACATTAGACCTCCCCATAGGAAAGCATTATTCACTGCTTTCCTATGGGGATTTCCGGCGACGCTGGAGGTCCTCATGCATAGCGTGAGGACGTCTAGCAGCGTTTAGACGACCAAAAGTCATATAAGAAGGCGGAAGTCCCTCTAGTGGCTGTCTAGACAGCCACTAGAGGAGGACTTAACCCTGCAAGGTAATTATTGCAGTTTAGAAAAACTGCAATATTTACACTTGCAGGGTTAAGAGTGATGGGAGTTGGCACTTAGACCACTTTAATGAGTTAAAGTGGTCTGAGTGACTACAGTGTCCCTTTAAGATATTCAGATGTTTGCAAAACCTTTTGGATTTTAACTTTTATGAATAAATGTGAAAAACACATGCATGGTAAAGTTAATTTTGGGTGAAAATCATTGTTTTCAGGGTGGAGCATATTCAACCAGGGATTGCCACTTTTATTTTTTATAAAGTTGAAGTTTATTTTTATTCATTTTTCATTTTTATTCACATTCTTTGGTATTTATCAAAAAGGAATACATCATGCTCAAAATACATTTGAGTAAATAACATAATACAATGTAAGTACATTAAGATGGCATTTTAATGAATGTCCTTCATGTTTGCTCTACCGGTTGGGGTATGTATATTGTATTCCAGCGATACCTGAAAAATGAATAAAAATAAACTTCAACTTTATAAAAAATAAAATTATATATATATAAGAAATCATGCAATCCTAAACATTTAACTAGGTCTAAAAGTTACTTTGAGCACACCAGCCACATGTAGTCTTTGAATCAAAAAACAAAAAATGTGTATATATATACCTGTATATCCAAAATACCTGAAAAATGAATAAAAATAAACTTCAATTATATATATTTTTTATAAAGTTGAAGTTTATTTTTATTCATTTTTCAGGTATTTTGGATATACAGGTATATATATATATATATATACATTTTTTGTTTTTTGATTCAAAGACTACATGTGGCTGGTGTGCTCAAAGTAACTTTTAGACCTAGTTAAATGTTTAGGATTGCATGATTTCTTTTGAAACCTCGATTAAAATGTGAAAGTTATGGCTGTTTGGACTGACCTAAAGAGAAGGGGAAGATAGTAACTGTAATTAAGAGGTGTTAAGAGGGTAATATAGGATCAAGGTGACTCAAATGGATGATATGAGAGAGTCTCTCTTTAATTATGCTATAGAATATGTATTTGCTCAACATACCAATAAGATTAAAGAGGGACAGAGCATAAGGGAAAATTAAGATTGAAACTGCATAAGGGAAGAGAGAACAGGATAAATTGTATCCCCATCATGATATACTTTACAAAAGAAAAACTTTTTGTGTTTTCTTCCAAGGAACTCCCATTGGATTTTTTTCCCCGTGCTTTTGGTGTCATCACATTACTTGGCGGTGGGTCCTCCTCTGAATTTCTTAGAATAAATGATCAATTTCAGTGGAAAAGCCTTAAATGACCTTCAGTTGCAGATCATTAAGTCTGGCATATGGTTATGTCTTGCATGAATAACCGTATAAAAGCATGCAGACTGTTTGTGCACAATATGCATCCTCTGGAGTTTGAACGTAATGGTCCAGACTCCTGATTACTGTAGCTAAAAGCAAGTTAAAAATAGTTTCAATTCCAGGTAAGGCAGTCTGTCTATTATAGAGCTGACCTATACAATCATGAGTTCATTTTAAATGCTCATTAAGCCAATTTTTTTTAAATTTTTTTTTTTTTTTTTTTTTATAACCACATACAGCAATAGAATACACAAGACCTTGTATTCTTACCTAAAATAATTTGATGTTTTTGTACTGTACCAGAATCTTCCGACAGCCTGTCCACCATTCTCACCTAGTTAGTTCTTGTCGGGATAGGTATCACCCAGCTTGCAGAATAACGCCACATAGGACAAGGAGAACAGTAGATATGAAATGTGTATTACCCAGCGGTGACTCTATCAACAAGATATCATAGTCAAAACAGGGATAGCACTAATCATTTCCACTGGGGTACTATTGGTTGTCTGAATTCACATTAGCTACCCAGAATTCTTGTTTTGTTCTAGCTATTGACACCTCTTAAATGTAATCTTTCAACTGTTTAGCAGATAACTCCCATATTTCATATCTTTATGTGCAACTACCATATTTAAGGACACCAATTAAGGTAGCTATCTGGTAAACCGCATTCTAATTTGGAGAGAGAGAAGAATTTTTTTTTTTATATCTCTTTCGTAAAGCAATTTGTTGGCTCTATTTAAATGATAAAATAATATTCATATATCTACAGCACGAGTGGACCCTCTCCTTTGTGTCCTGTTCTTTGTGCTGGGATCAATGTGTTCTTCCTGCGCAGGTCCCATGAGCTCCCTTTAGTGATGTGAATGCTGAGATTATCTAATATCCAGACAGCCAACAAATTGCAGGGTGCACGAGGGAGCTGTGCAGGAAGAGCACAGTAAGTGAAGGCCTCCCCTACTCCCATCCAATCTGGATATCTTTATATTTTAGTAGAGTAGGCACCTGCAGTGTGTGTTGGCAGGTGTCTTTTCTGCCCAGTTTAGTTCGAATTGTATTCCCCCTCCCTACCCCCAACTTTTGCATTTTACAAGTGTGACACACACAAGGCAATGCATACTCTATGTAGCTACCCCTGTAGCGATGACATAGGTATTATCGGACCTTAGAGTGACCTGGCTTACTGTGCACAATACAAGGAAAAGGAATGTCAGGAAAGAAACAAAGGTCAAGGACTGTAACACAGAATCGATAAACAAGCCAAGGTCAGGTTTACAGAATTGAGAAAAGTCCAAACAAGCCAAGATCAATAGACCAAGAATGAGAATTACATTAAAGAAAATGCGGATTAGGATAAACAGAATAAAAATCACAACAAGGCACTAAACAGATGTAAAGCTCAGCTATTTATAGGTCTGTGGGCATTTCCTATATAGCCATGCTCCCAAAGTCGATGTAGACAATGACATGATGATTCCACAAAGTGGGTGTATCTTAATGATATCATGAAAGTACCCTTTGTCCTATAATACGTCATATATATTCGGTTTGATGACATTACAAACTAACCAATAGCATTTTAATGACCTTTATGGCATTCTTAAAATACATCTATATACAGTTAAACCAGGCATCTGCACATTGCAGACTACTATTGCATACAACTGATAATCCCTATAGTATTGAATTTGAAGCGCCCAAAATGTAGATCCCATTATGTTGTATAACTGCATCTCCCACGATGCTTTCCGGACTAAGTAAAGGCAAAATATTGTGAAAATTGTAGTTTTAAAATGTGAGGGTCTACCCTTTGAACTCTCCTGCTGTAGTAGTTTTAATGTGCTCAGATCCCACCCCACCTGCTATAATGTATCCATGAAGGTGAACTACAAATATCGCAGTAGGGTGGGCAGAGAAAGAGGGCACGTTACGTAGCTTCAGCAAAAATGGTGGTCAGAAACCTGTGTACATGGAGGTACATGGGGATTTGTTGGAGGTACATGTTGGGATTTGTATGTGTATTTTTGGAAGCTACTCAGTAGCTGTAAAAGGTTTTAAAAACTGATGCAATTGCAAAATGTCCTCCTTCGTTATGATAAAATAGTTATATCTCTAGCCATGACCGCTTATTTTCCTGTTTGGAATACAAACTGATGTTTTTATTTTTTAGTTTAGCGTTTTTTTTTTTTTGTTTGTTTTTTTTTTTTGTTTACAACAATATTTTCATTCAAGGGCAATAGCATTGTACAGAATAACAAAATGGAATTAATGCACATCCTTGGACAAACGAATAAATCCGCTTACTATAGTGGTTATGGTGCAGTTTCTGATATCCAAAACCCCACCCCTTAGACCAGAATTTGTCATTGGAATTTGTATTTTTTGTATGGTTAGCTGGCATTAAAGGGTTATTCCAACCACCACGACCACATCAGTAATTTGAAGTGGTTATCGTGGTAGAAGGATGTATGTGCAATGTTTTATCTGAAACACTGCACAAGCAGAGGTATTGTTAATTGTTTTCTGTGATCTAGTTGCACTTGACACTGGCAGTAGAGAACTCTGTTCCGGACTGATTAATATCAACTCTGTGCATAAAAAAAACCCACAAAAAAACAACCCCATCTGTGATCAGTGTTCACTGCATGCTGCCCACAGACATAAAAAGCACCTGGAAAGGGAAGATGGCTTCCCCCTCCCTACCTCCCTCCCACCTCCCTGTCCTATCTGATATTTGTCTCCCCTGCCCTCCCTCCTCCTACTGTGCTGTGAGCGGTTTAATCAGTGAAATGCTTCTCCATGAAAACGGTTTGATTGGACCTCAGCAAGGCTACTGTGTTTTGCCTGGTGCTGCATTAAAGTAAATAAAGCCTTAAAGGACCACTATAGGCACCCAGACCACTTCAGCTCAATGAAGTGGTCTGAGTGTCAGGTCCATCTAGGGTTAACCCTGCAGCTGTAAACATAGCAGTTTCAAAGAAACTGCTATGTTTACATTAGGGTTAATCCAGCCTCTAGTGGCAGCCGCTAGAGGCACTTCCACGTTTCAGTGAGAAGACGCCAGCGTCCGTAGGAAAACATTGAGAAATGCTTTCCTATGGACTGACTGCGCTTGCGGCTGACGCCGGAAGAGGGAGGAGAGTTCTCAGTGCAGAGGGAACCCGGCGCTGGAGAAAGGTAAGAATTTAACCCCTTCAGCCAGGTGGGAGGGGGACCCAAAGAGTTTTCCTGGCACTATAGTGGTCCTTTAATTTAGAATGCTTCTTTTGAAGGGTACCATGATGAAAAATGCCAGTAGGGCATTATTCTCTGATTTGGTGGGGAAAAGGGTTAAATAAACAATTTAAGTTGTGAGAATTCTTCATGTGAGCCTGTGTGAATGTGGTGGTGTTTAAATGGGAAAAACCACATCCTAGGATTTTTAATATTACGTTAATCCCCCTATTATTAAAATATATAACAACTACCAGAGATCCAGGAATAATATCCAATTGCCGGGACTTTATAAACATAAAAGGCAACTTTTTTAATCGGCATACAAAATAAAATGTTTATTGTTTTTTATTTTATTTATTTATTTTTTAAACGCCTCACCTAGGCAAAAAAATGGGATATACTTATAGTAGAAATCAATCAAATGTAGAAATATGCACTGCTGTATTTACTCTGTTCTAGAACTGAACTCCAATGTATTTCCTCCTTGTCAGCCATTGTTATAAGCAAGAGAAACTAAAATAATGTTCATTGCAATGTGTGCCCAGAAAAGTGACCCTTCCTTTAACAGCTGTTAACATGGCCAAATCATACTAAACAAATATTTTGGATGTATATAGCTGAGAGGGTGTAATTTTGGGGTGCTGGGGAATCTTCTTTTTTGTCAAAACTCTTGGGGGGAGGTTCTGTTTCAAAGGTATTTGCATTATAACCATTACAATAAGCTATTGAGCTAAGGGGCTTAGAATGAAAAACTTTATTTAAAAAAAAATAATAATAATCTAAGATTCAGAACATGCTTACCTTTCAATTATTTGCACATTTTCATTGGTTCATGATTTTAAATATCATATGGAAAATATAGCAGGACTATTTAAACCCTTTTTGATATAGGAATAAAGCAGTAAAATATAATAGAAAATAATCATTTCCACAAGGCAACAGAAAGCTGTTGTACTTCTGAAAGCATAATGTATTACAGTACTGAAGTCTGCCTCTCAAGGCAATTAAGATTGCATTTTTGTATTGATAGATTGCCTTATTGATTTTGCATATATACATTTCTCTTGAAGAGCTTTCATGTGTGAGAATGTATACAGTGCTGAAATCATATGAGCGATTTGCTTACAATTTACCCTTGTCGAAACCTTTATATTGACCGTTGCATTTGAAGTAGAGGATTTATTCACTAAACATCA